AGATCAATGGCATATTTTTGGCTCTAACTTTCCACGTTGATGTGGTGTGTGATAAGAATTGTATAAGTTTATTCATCATTTGAGCATTTCCCACAAGGAATTACACAAACCATATGCCCTCCAGCTACATGTGTGCATGTGTGGTCTTTTACTTTGTTCTAATAATAATAAAAATAAGTGTCTAGTTATTAAATTGTCTTAAAACGATTAAAAAAAGGCCCCAAACCTACTACTTCTACGTTCGGTATGACGATATAAGATGGGTATGACGAACGTTATGTGGCTTATTCTGCTATAAGAGGATACTTATTTGTTAACAAGAGATGTACTTTTTTTGGATGGCTATATAAAAGAGCTTATGTTTTTTTTCATCATTAATTAGTTGTTTTTTTATCTCTGTTTGAAATCAAAAGAGAAGAGAAGGTGAGGTGACAGCCATCATCAAGCTGAGTGAGGCAGCAGCCGGCGTTGGCGTTTGGAGATGACACGCGCCAATATCAACCAAATTAAATCTATCCAGTAGGGAGTATTAAGATAACATAAGTTTCTTACGTACATATAGCAGCCAAAGTTACAATGGTTCCTATTAATTAATTGTTTCTTTTGGCCTAAGTAAGATTGTGTAAGCACAAGCCTAGCACTACAATCTGTCTTAGCTAAGCTAAGCTAAAGGTGATTAATTTATTAGTCATCATTAGTCCATCACCTGATTAATTCCGTCGTCTCTCTGCTTTATTAATTGCCCTTTCCACGTTCCATATATTGGATGCATATATACATATGGATAGATATATACATGTACTGAATCAGATAATATGGGGCGACAAGATAGTCATTGGTTAGTTTATATATGCTGATTAATTATGAGCTGTAACGCCTTATCAGGCAAAGATGTAATTTGTGACTAAAACTTTTATATTTATATATATGTACTTAGCAATTTAAAATCAAACGCTGAAAACTAAATTGCGATGAAAAAAAAAAGCTCTACAATTAAGTTTCAAAATTCAAAATTTTGTTATGGTTTATAATTAAGTTGATGGGCAAACGATAGGAGTTCAAATATATATATATATATATATATATATATATGTTCGTTCTAATGTGATCAAAATGGTATCCATCCGTTTCACACTGTAAGTCATTCTAGCATTTCTCATATTCATATATGTCTAGATTCATTAACATCAATATGAATATAGAAAATGCTAGAATGATTTACATTGTGAAACGGAGGAAGTAAATTAATAATTACTACTAATGGATTTCCATACGGTAAATATGTTTAATTGTATTTTCCATGGAGAATATTTTAGTTATTATTTTCATACACACAACTTAAGATTAAAAAAATGCAGCTAGTAGCATATATGCATGGATATATTTGTGCCAATTAGCAAGTGGATCGTACAGGGAGACAAGACAATAACTATGACAATTCTACAATCTAACCGGCTATAACCTGCATAAATATATGCTCGCAGGTCCATGGAGTTTTACTTTGGCCCAGCAATGATTCCGGCATGCAGCTAGCCAGCTATTGACATCGCTCCATATAAATACCTGTGTGTGGCAAGGTACATAATTTACTTGCTAGAATCTATAAATTATCTTACTTTTGAATTTTACTAGTCATCTTTACATATGAGTTAGGATATATCTCATCACTCGGTAGATATATATTTTATAATAAAACTTGGGTGTACTACTACCCCTCCGTCCAAAGATAAATAAACCCTGGTTTATATACCTGGACACATGTAGAGGTCGAATGTGAATCATTTCAATCATTTGTTAATTCATTCATTAAACTAGTAGAGCAATTAATTAATGAACGGTATTGCTATAAATCTGACAACATATTTTTTCTCAATTCTCAGTCGAAATTTTTCTAAGCCTTTGATTGGCTGGAGCGCCGCTTTTTTCGGTGGCATTGGTCTCATCAATTGCATTTGATTGGCTCGAACACTGCTTTGACCGTAGCTCGTTGGCACGTTCTTTCACATAAGTAATCAATATATGTAATTTTCAATGCAAAATATTAGAAATTACATTGCACTTATATTATAATTACATTATACTTACATATGTAATTTAGAGACTTACATATGTAATTTTAGGACTTGCATTGTAAATACACTAAAATTACATATGTAATTTAGAGATTTATAATGTAAATATATACCGACTATTTTTTGATGAAAAATATAGCGCCATAAATATAGTTACTCCCTCGATGAATCAAGAGTTTAGATAAAATAATCCAATAGGATCAGGTGTGCGATTCAACTGAAAAATAAATAAGTTAATTAATTGTCTTGGTGGAGCCGAGATGATGAAGATGTTGCTGTAGGTCCTTCAGCCTCAGGTAAGGATTGAAACGATTAATTAATTAAAGAAGATATCACAAAGTGCATATCTTACATATCAACGACAACAGGAGAGACAAGACCTTCATCCATGTATATGCCCAATTGTCCAACGGATGATCATCATCTGCGTTGGGCCCACACGGCAGCGGCTATAGCTTAGCCACAAGTTCAGTCTGTCCACATAATTGCAATGCTCTTTTTTACTTCCATCCACATCTTAGCCCCCATTTAGTCATAGCAAAAGTAAAAAGGAAAAGGTTGCCTTTTGATTTGTGTTCTTTTTGCCTTTGTATGTTTCAAGAAAAAAGTGTTTATCTCAATTAGATATGTCATCATATTTAGTCATAGGAATGAGTGTATATGTATTGTAAGCGCTTGCGTTTTTACTATGTTTCTTTAAAAAACAAGATACAACAAGTCATTTATCTCTTAGTGTCCATCTACATACTAATATTCACATGGGTTCACTTCTGTAAGTATTTTACGATGTTCGCAAATTGCTTGTCCCTCTGCTCATCACCATTGATTCATTGAACAAATGTTAGGGGTTTATTTTTTTAGGAACAATTTGGGTGTGGTTAGCTATAATCGTCTTTGATCCATACATATGCTGAAAAAGAAAATGCATAGAATTAAGCTAGCTGTCCTGCATCTAAATATGAAAATAACTAAGCAAAAGAACAGACAAGTAATAAACATTTGAACATAGAATTCAGAAGTGGTATTCGATCGCGTGAGCAAACTAAAAAGTCAGACATGTCACATTCGTCCTCAAAACATGCATGCACGCATTGAAAATTCTATAATTTGCTAATTAGATATTTCTCAAAGCAAAAGACTTGCTAATTAATTAGTAATTGAAACATGCATCACGATCCAGTCATTTACCGGGATGTGACGCATTGGGGGCAGTTAGGCAACCTTTTTTCAAGTATTTGTACCTTACATCTGATCTCATGTACTGTCCCGAACAATAATAAAATTGCTATCTATGCACCTTTCGTCGTCTATTTCCAACAAATACTAGGAGAATCATATTTAATGCATGGGTGAAATCATATATGGCTGTGTTTAGATCCAAAATTTGAATCTAAACTTCAGTCCTTTTCCATCACATCAACCTGTCATACACACACAACTTTTCAGTCACATCATCTCCAATTTTAACCAGAATCTAAACTTTGCGCTGAACTAAACACAGCCTATATGTACAACTGTGAACGTACATTTCAGAGTTTTTTAATAATGGAATTTGGTTCCAGTTTTTACTTAATAACAAGTTGGGAACTTGGGATATGACGAGGAGTCCAAAACTAAATTAAACAGCATAGAAAAAAAAAGACATTTAGTCAGAAACATTTGAGAGCTCTCGATTGTAGTTTTACTAAGTTCATGATTTTTTTAATCCCTGGTGCTTTAAATGGCTCAAATAGGAATTTTACAGGATTTTCATATGATTTAGGCCACACTGGTTTTGTATGGTTGGGAGAAAACTTTTAATCACACGTAAAATAAAACTCATTAGCACATGATTAATTAAGTAGTATTAACTATTATAATTTTGAAAAAAAAATTATTTGAATTTTTAAAGAAACGTGACGTTTACCAATTCAGAAATCGTGCTAACATAAAGTTGTCGTTTGAAGTTGCTGAAAAGAAGTCTGTGTTAGTTCGGTTCCTCTCCTCCAGAATCGCTCCAAATTTCCTCCAATCCGAAGAACCCATGAGCGTGTGTAGAATCGGTGTGCACCGACTCTAACATATTTACTCTATCCGTTTATATTATAAGTCGTCCGACTTTTTTATAGTCTTTGGGTGTGTTTAGTTCACGCTAAAATTGGATGTTTGGTTGAAATTGGAACGATGTGATGGAAAAGTTAGAAGTTTATGTGTGTAGAAAAGTTTTGATGTGATGAAAAAGTTGAAAGTTTAAAGAAAAAATTTGGAACTAAACTCGGCCTTTGTTGAAGTGAGGTGCATATGTTGTAACTTGACAAACAGGAGAAAAGCCGGCCGGGCTTGAAAGCTGAATTGAAGATGAGCATGAACCACTACTGTAACACACACAGAGTTTTGCCTTGGTGGGGAACAAGAGGATATAGTGCCATCACCATGCATATGACTATCTTCATAGTACAACACCACCAGCAGCTATTTGTTGCAGAGCTGTTTGGATTGGATCATTGGAGTGGATGGATGGATGTACAAGTTGGATTTGATGGGTCGTCTGAATGTTTTTGTTGTTGGTTATGGTGATTGTTGCCAGCCTGCTTAGCTAGAGCCTAGAGGGCATACAATTGGACACTTTGGATAGACAGGCCAGACAATGCTATCCACAGATAGTGCTGGACTGCTGGTGTTGGCTGTACATGTACATGAAGATGATGATGTGCTAGGAACCTTTCATTTCAAAAAAATGAACTTGGACAAACATTTTGCATGCATGCTAAACCTAAAATAAATAAAATACCCCCCCCCAAGTTTTGTCTTACTAAAAAATGTGTAATGTAGTACCATTTATTTTGTTTTATCATCGAAGGTACTTTAAACATTAATTATTTTTTCTCATATTTACTTAAGCTTGTGGATAAGACTAGCGGTCAAACATATATTCCAAAATCAATGAAATCATACATTAGAAACTAGAGGGAGGGAGTATGTAGGCTGCTTGAAATAAAAAAAAAAACTAAACCAATATATCTACACACGCGGTGCGTACTAGCGTGTGGAAGCTCTATTATACTTCATCTATTTCAAAATATAGCAAACTATGACTATCAAAATTAGAGTGATTCACATTTATTTGCCCGCGAAAACAAAAATAATAATAATGTTATACTAGAAGAATCGAGGAAAATGTCCACTTTGACTCCCTTAATTGTACACCGAATCTAATTCGTACCCCTCAACTAGAAAACCGGATAGAACGACTCCCCGAACTATTGAAAACGGTGCAATTTGACTCCCCAGCAGTATTGGAGGGCGGTTTTGCTGACGTGGCGCTGACGTGGCGGCGCTGACCCAGTATTTGTCCCACGTGGCGCTTAAGTGGCATTACAATTTAAAAAATATATGTGGGACCCATCTGTCATTCACATAAAAAAATATATTGTGGGACCCATTAACATGTGGGGTCCACATGTCATCCTCTCTCTCCAACCCTTCTTCCTCCTCCCTCCCTCTCCCTTCTCTATCTTTTCTCTCCCTTTTTCTTCTCTATCTTTTCTCTCCCTTTTTCTCTTCCCCATCAGACGGTAGTGCGGTGAAGGGCGGGGGTGGCGGTGCCGGCTTCGGGAACGCGGGGGCGCGATGGGGCGAGGTGGGGCGAGGAGGCCGCGGCGGCGAGGAAGGCATGAGGGAGCGGCTGGGGGGAGGCGGCGGCGGCCGGTGCGGGCGGGGATGTCGCGCGCCGGGGTGGGGGGCGGCTGTCGCTGCCGGCCACATCGGCGGTGGGGACGACATGTCGGGGACGCGGGGGCGCGGTGGGGCGAGGAGGCCGCGGCAGCGAGGAAGGCACGAGGGAGCGGCTGGGGCGAGGTGGCGGCGGCCGGTGCGGGCGGGGGGCGCGGCCCTAGTTGCCGGCCGCTGCGGCCGTGGAGACGACATGTCGGGGAAACACTTAACCTGCATGTCAGCATGTAATGGAAAACCTCAATTTCACGACATTGCGTGTTATGGTGCTAGAACATGAGGCTGCACAAAGATCTTGGCCGGGGGGAGACCTGTGGCTCGGTGAAGTTGATGTCGGGGCTGGCGGCGAGGCCGACGAGGTCATGCTCCATGTACTCGAAGACGAGGTAGAGGCTGCAGGACATGCGGGAGGTGACGAGGCCCTCGAGCTTGATGACGTTGGGGTGGTGGAGGCGGCGGAGGATGAGGATCTCGAGGAGGGCAGGAGTACGTACCTTGTCGATCTTCTCGAAGGAGTCGGCGCGGCGCGGAGTCCAGCCGTCGATGGCCTCGCCGACGACGGCGGAGAGCCGGACGGGCCAGCCGGCCGCCACCTGCTCCCTGAGCCCCAGGCAGGCCGCCTCAGCGGCGGCAGACCGCGACGACCGTGCACGCCTCTCCCTCCTGGCCGGCTTCGGCGTCTTCTTCTCCTCCTCCTCCTCGGCCGCCTTCTCGGCGACGGCGGGCGGCTTCTTCGGGGCGACGGGCGGGGGGTCGCGGGCTGCTGGGGGTGGTCGGCGAGAGGGGGCGGAGGGGCGGCCGTGGACGCAGCCCATGGGTGAGGAAGGGAGGAGGAAGAAGGGTTGGAGGTAGAGGATGATACGTGGGCCCCACATGTAAATGGGTCTCACAATATATTTTTTTTGTGTGTGAATGACATATGGGTCCCATAATTTTTTTTAATTCTAATGCCACTTAAGCGCCACGTGGGACGAAGACCGGATCAACACCGCCATGTCAGCGCCATGTCAACAAAACCGCCCTCCAATACCGCTAAGGGAGTCAAATTGTACCGGTCTCAATAGTTTAGGGAGTCGTTCTCTCCGGTTTTCTGGTTGAGGGGTACGAATTAGATTCGGCGTACAATTAAGGGAGTCAAAGTGGACTTTTTCCAAGAATCGATACATACTCGATGGAAAAGAACTAAAAGGCCCATGAGATTTCATTTCGGTAGCAAAGCCTCCCCAAGATAAGCCCATTAATATATGCTTATGCGGGCCTAGCCGAGAGTGCAAAAGAAGCCCATGAGAGTATTGAGCCCAACCTGGCCAGCGTGTATGTGAGTGATATCACGGGGCCAGTCACGTCACGCCACGTGCGCACGCACTAATCCGTTTCCTCTGGTGATTTCTTGAACTTCCGGGGGGTGTTTTGGTAAATTCGTAGAGACGGGAGAACAGGGGAATATCCAATGGCGGATCCTCCTACACGATACCACCCTCCTCCCCTCGTTACTATCGCCAAACTAAAAATTTTCACTTAACAGCACTGTCAATCTGTCATTCCTCTCTTTAAAAAAAAAGCAGTGTCACTAGAGCAGCTAATGATACTCCTCCGTTTCAGATTTCAAGTCGTTTTTATTTATAGTCAAACTGCTTTAAATTTAATTAAATTTATATAGAAAAAATAACATTTTGAACACAAGATAAATATATCATGAAAATATATTCAATTATCGAGTTAATAAAACTAATTTAATATTATAAATATTATACTATACTAGTAAAATACATGTGCGTCACTACGGATAAATTTTTTGTTTGGTTAAGTATAGATTAGAAATTTTAATGATAATTAAGATGTATAAAAACCACTATTTGTATATTGATATACCCATATTCTCATAATACTCAAGATGGGCATGGATGCCTTGATGATCAAATGACTGTGAGAACTGTGGTAGGATGTGTCCCATGATTGGACTCATCCAGTTATGGTGGACATTGGCAACGAAGAAAACCAGAACAACAGCGACAACATGGTCCCGAGAGAGAGAGAAATGACAACGGCGACCTCTGATGGTGAACACGATCGGATGAGTACAACAAAACGTGTTCCCGAACGAGGGGGTTCCGGTTTCTTTGAACGTGCACTGTGTGACTCATTCATAGATGGTGACAGTTGGCAAAAAAGAAAACTAAAACACCGGAAACGCGACCGACCAGACGTGGTCCCAACATAGAGAGAAACAACAACTGCGAGCTTTGGTAATGGACACGGCCTGGTGAGCGCATCAAAACGTGTCTTTGAACGAGGGGGTTCCGTTTTCCTTGAACGTGCGGAAGAGAGGGAGCGCAAGGAAGAAGAGAGGCGCTGGGAGGAGGGGCGCCAAGAAGGAGAGCAGCCGCGGAGGGAGGAGGATCGCGAGGGAGAGATGGGGGCTTCGGGAGGGAGGGTGGGAGGCGGATAGGAAGGTGTGCCGGAGGGAGTGAGGGAGGCGGGAGGAAGCGGAAGCGGAGAGGTGGGCGGCGCGTGGGAGGGAGTCGGAACGGACGGATGAAAAAAAGAAAGGAGGAAGCCTTACGTATTTTTTAATTAGGGGTATATGTATAGATTTGTATACAAACTTAGTTAAATTTGAAACAGCCAAAACGAATATTGGTTTACTTAAACGTCATAGGATCGGTGAGAAATTAGGCACGCCACGTCAGCTGTTTTTTCAAAAAAACCCGTCATATTTTGTGAAATAACACGCACGCCCAAATTCACGTGTGCCATCCGATCTCGGTGAGGCAGGGATCCAACTGTACACGTGTCCCAGCGTGGTGGCTGTTTCATCACCGTAGGATCGGGGAGACAGAAATGAACGGCTCAGATCTCCTCAACCGATGCTCCCACATAAACCCTAGCTAGCGTCGCTCCTCCCTTCCCCTCGCGCGACCTGGCGGCGGATGCGCCGTCCTGTTGCGCTACCTCCATCCCTCCCGGTGCGCCGCTTCCGCTGCTTCCCCTCCCCTCCACGCTGTGCTTCCTTCCTTCCTCCTCTGCACCTCTTCTTTCCCATCGTTTAGAGTCAGCGAGTCATGGTGGAATCGATACGGCCTGATGGTGTTTGTCCTGCATCCCAGCCCTTGCCTCGGCATGGATTTGGGCCTTGCTGCCGCCGCAAGTTGCATGCATTCGATTCAAAAAAAAAAGTTGCCAGCGTTGATTCATTACCAGCATGAGGGCCTGCGCTGCGCTGGTTTACTGCTCCTTCGTCATCATCGTCCAAAGCACCATCAGCGACCAGGTAGGCAGCCTAATTTCCTCCCATTCAATTTATCTTTGGCTAATAGACTCCTGTGTGTCTTGGTTGTAAGAAGAGGAATAAATAATTGGGGTGTCGCCAGTAAAATTATTAGAAGCAAATCTAAGTTCATTCTCAAAATACATTTGTTCCTGCAACTTTGTTAATTATAATGTCCTATATATTTCTTTTATGTCAGTTAACTTCAGCGTAGATAACTTCTCACTACTAATGACAGAATATTGTCAGGGATGTACAGGTTAAAGATTCTTACATGGTCCTTAGCTTCATAATGAAATCCTGATGTACATCGGTTCATGTACATGCCAATTTTTTCTGGAATCCTAACAAATTTGGTCTACAAGAACACATGCTTTGAAAAAATTCTGATATTTTGTTATTCTCAGTTACACTGATTCAAGATTGTAGATATGAGTATATGGCATGGTACTACATGGCAGTTATGGTTTACTTTCCCAAGATATGCACTTCATAACATACAAAGTTATTGGAGAGTACAAGTTTTGATGTTCTTGGCTCCGCTGCCCTTTTCCTGTAGGAGTAGATGCTAATGAGTGAATTGTGTAGTAATGTCAGTATTCCTTCATTGTTTACCAGGGAGTAATATTTGGTGAATATGTCAGCGAGTTTTCTTGCAGCAATGGAACTTTCCTGCAGCCACCTTTATGTGCTTCTGTTTGGAGGTATGAATGTTTTCTTATTGTCTTCTCTTGGTGATATATGTGGCCTTCAGATTTCTCATCACATATTTTTAGTTTTTGTTTCATGATAGCATATAATGTTTATACTATGAGTAGGTTTTGCCTCAATTTCCTTCCCAATGAAACAAATCATATTTTATTTTTGAATTTGTTGAGCTCGATATTTTTACACACAGTAGAAATAAACATGCATTGATAATATCCTTTGTAGACAATATTATATTGGTAATAGTGATGCATACGTCATAAAAAAATTATCTGTAGACCTGGCAACTTGGCATATGACCCCTAAATTTGGATCGTGCAGTTCTTTTTCTAAGACACAAACCAAAAGGTCTTTAGGACTCAGTATAGACTGATGATTGTGCCAATACTAAGGTAATGATCTGATTTCATGGCGCAAGTCTTTTATCCTCATATTTGGAGACTCCATTATTCTACAAGTCATATCTTAATGACTAAAGTGGGCTGATGTTGGGTCTATAAGTCAAGACAGTAATCACAAAGTATGTTGCACATCTAGCAGAAAAAATCTCTCTCCGTTGAAGATTTCAGTATTGGTAAGAAATTTACTAAACCACAGTAACTACATTTTTAAATCAGTTCAGGCTCTATTGTAACAAGCTAACACCTTTTCTTCCACTATAGCCATTTCTAAGCTACTAATGTTGAATATTTAATGGAACATTAATTCCATAGATTAGCATTGTTTGCAGGGTGTTTCAACGACACTACTATTTACCCGAAAGGATTAAAGCCACAGGTACTTCTAAGTTCTAACCTACATAGTACCATCCTCGCTTGATTTGTTAGTCCATACGGAATGACAATACATATGTGCCACCCCAAAGGTCCAAGCCTCCATATCTCTAGCTGTGTGGTACTCTTTTCTTCTTTGATCATAAATTTTTATTTTAATTTATTGGTGTGATAAAGCTATATGCACTTCAAACAATTTTAGATGAGACATGCCATATGTTCTAATAAGGACGCAATGTGATGTTATTTCTATACAAGCATTATTCCTGCTTTTGTTTTTTCCAGCTCTGTATGGTGTTGGAATTTTCTAATGACCCATCCTTCAAGATTGATTATTTGTTTTGAAAATATTCTTATAGAGTTGACTTCAAGATATGATTTCATTAATCTTTTTTTATTTAATTGATTAAATGTTCTGTTTGCCCCCTTCTAGGAAGACAGATATTTCAACATGGTTTCTTTGATGAGTGTTTTGTTCTACTTGCCATATATACTTATCACGTAGCAATATATGGATGACATCCAAGCATGCCCTTAGACATGATTATGTAGGGGCTACCTTAGTATTCAGTGGCACTATGCAAAGGAGGTATCACTTCATGTACTAAACTGTTGCAAGTACGTAATGTGATGCGTTGTTGTTTTTACAGAACTAAGCACTAAAATTTTCTTTGCGGTGAAGTGCTATATATATGTGAAAGATTCAATTAGTTAATGATGAAGATCTCTATGACAAAAAAGTTGAAATTCTCTGATCACCTAATAATTTTCTTTTGTCACACTGTTTCTTCTCTAATCTATACCCCCACATTATGTAAGCACCATTGTCCTCTGTGATTGTTATTTTTCTGTAAATGGGCATGTTTGTACAAACAATTATCTGAGCAAACGGATTATATTCGCATTTAAATCTTGGTGATATATAGTTGTAATGTGTGTTCATATGTAAGTATGCTTCTGACATAATGCTTTTTTAGATAATGTTAGGATATATAATGCTTAAAAGTTGCAACTATATACACGTTGTTTTGATTATGATATCACAACTTCAAACATTCTTTCCTACGCACGCAGCGTAGCGCGTGACTCTTGCTAGTTATAATATGAAAACGGAGGGAGTAGCGTTTTAGAGTGAATTTCAATAAGATACTTTTTTTAAAAAAAAAATCTGCACGTACATCACCGAGGAACATGTGGGACGCGTACGTCTACCATTTCTCTCTCCTTGCTGTAGGAATGACATGTGGGACCCACACTTGCATCCTTTCATGTCCGAGTGACAAGTGGGCCCCGCTCGGTCTCTCTCTGGTTCGCTGCGACCCGACCCCGACCCAAGTCACCCAACCCGATCAGATGAGAGATCCGACTCGTCGCCGTCGTTGCCGTCATTAAACCGGCTTTCCATCTTTCGCCTCGACACCCCCACCACCACCACCACCACTCCTCTTCCGTTTCCTCTCCTCCTCCTCCTCCTTCTCTCCTCCTCGATTCAAAACCAAAATCAAATCAAAAAAGAAAAAAAAAGGTGAAATCCCTCACGCCTCGCGTCGCCGCGCCGCGCCGGGCCACCGCGACGGGGCGCAGATCCCACCGCCGCAATGCCCGCGACCCCCGACGACGACCCACCGGCGGCGGCGAGCGAAGCCCCGTCGACCTCCTCCGCGGCGGCGGATGAGGACGACCGCGTCTTCCTCGTCCTCCACAGGTACGAACGAACCCTAGGGCTAGCCCTAACCCCCACCACCCCCCGTAGCTTGGATCGGATCGGGTGGGTGGCTGACCTGACCTTGGTGATGGGGGCGAATGCAGGTGGTGGAGGGAGGCGCAGGAAGGGGGAGGGATCGAGGCGGCCGGGGTGCCGTACGCCGCGGCGCCGTCGGGCCCGACCTCCTACGGCATCGGCATGAAGGTGCTCAGCATGTTCATCTCCGACCAGGCCTTCACCCTCCGCCGCGCCGACGACCTCCTCCAGCCCGACGCCTCCGCCTCCAACGCGGCCTCCTCCAGGACCTACGCCCTCGTCGCCGCCGACCTCTTCTCCAAGGCGCGCGCCTGGTGAGAAGACAAACACACGCTCGCTCTCCTTTCACCTCCACTCGCGATGATGATAGATGGGTTTCCTATGTTTTTTTTTTACAACTTCTCCATAGGTTTGATCCGATGATCCTATCGCGCTACATTGAGAACCAGTCGTGAGCAATGCATAGTGTGTTAAAATCCATGGTTGATGATTACTGAAGGAGTAGGGTAGCGGCTACGTTGTACTGTTGATCGCCTCATGTGGTATTGTGAATATATGCAAATCGTAGCTACACTTGCTTCTGAAATCGACTCACATGGTGCTGGTTTCCTTGCTGGAGCTTTGGACAGGGGTTCTCCCTTGTGTTACATGTTTCTGTAAGAGGAAAAACAGCTGCACAGAACTAGATATATTAGATCGCTCATGGCTGGTATTGTCATGACATATTCCACGTCCAGTTGTTTATCCTCGTGTTGATGTCTAGGGTTTATTACTATGGCACGACGTGGAGGTGGTTTCTAGTGGCGCGCCAACCATTATGGTCTATAATTTGTAATTAATATACGAGGCATCCCCATTAACTTCCATGATAACAAGTTGTTGCATTTGTGCAAGCCTTATTTTAATACATTCCCGTGAAGAGATTCACAATTAATCCTATGAATCAACATTCCCTAGTTCTCTGACATCAACTTTGCATCGAGGCATTGAAGCGGATAATTACATCTTCTATCTAGGATACTACTAGTAGCGGCATTGCTGAGTCTACGCTATTTAGTTTAATTTATCCATTCTATTAGAACTTAGATTTTCCATGCTGGCGACTTTCAGTGAAGGTTCACAATTAGGCTGTTGCATTGGAGCCTTCAACTGATTGATGGATCATAGCAAGAAATAATGCACTTCTTTGGAAATGTTTCGAGTCTGAACCATGTAAAAGTCTCTTCTTCTGAATATAAGGGATTAAACTATAAGCATTAATATGTCAACAGAATGCTGCATTTATGAGTTAGGGCTGGCAGCTATCTAAAATATGCACAGCTGCCAGGTACTATTACACTTCCTTTTGTTGCTTGCTTGCTCTGATGACTTTACTTTTTCAAAGCCTAATTGATTTCTTGATTCTTTTTTCATGTAGGCATATTGATTCTGGCAAGAATGCGGGGAAAAAATCATTGTCTATCGAAGAAGGATCTGTAAACATTTACCCTATAATGCTCAGAGTTTCAGTCACGCGAGATACAAATGCACTAACCGTGAAGATCAGCAAAAAGGTCTAGTTATTTTCCATTTTATTCATCTATTAATCACAGATTTTGTGTTCTGAAGGATGAAGTTTTGGTTTAGTAATCTATCCCTAGAAAAAACTTTTCACTTTGTTCTAAACATTTCAGGATAATTCTGCTGAGAACTTTAAACGGGCAAACAAGATTTTGACTTCAGACTCTGAGCCGGTATTTTTTTTTCTGATGATTTGTTTTTCAATAAGTAGGATGAATGCTCAAATTATTTTACTTTAACATGTCCATATTGTCTTTAGGTTCATATATGGGATTTCTCTGGACGAACAACTTTTATATTGATGAACGAATGGAATCGAATGCCCCAAGACACTCGGTCTTCTGATCAGGAGGTCAATCTTATTACTACTACCTTGTCATATTCTAAAATTAATTATTTAATTGTATGCAACTTCAGAACATTCTCCCTGCTTACTGTTGCCTGGATGTTTACTACTACTTAAGTTATATTTCAATATGAACTTAGTCAACCCCTTTCCACTCCCACCAATTTTCTCCAAATGCAGTCTATTTGCAATTTGATTTGCTGAAACTTGAGGGAATAGCTAGCAGGCTATCCACATGTCATAGCCAGGATCAACCACTGTATATATGCAGGCATCTAAATCATATATATATATATATATATATTTCCGCATGTCATAGCCAGGACCAACCACTGTATATGCAGGCACCAAATAAGTATTTCCGCATGTCACTAAAACGTGTGGGACCGGTCTCACTCAAAACATGCAAAATGAACTTTCGGATGAGGATTGAACTTTGGCCCATCACTATATCGTTATATCCGGTAACAATAGTTATTCTTCCAATACACGTGTGCTGCTAGTTAATCCAGACTGACCAGGCATGATTAAGTTCAGATAAAAACCTGACATTTCTGAACTTATGGTATCTGCTAGGTTTTGTCCACAGTTTCGTCTTTCATTGTCACTAGCTACTACCTCCCATATAATGTTCTTCGTAGCATGTTTTTTTTTTCTTATCCTTAATTCTTCTTTTACATGTTCAGATGCCTCTAGAAATACACTTCTATGATCTGTCAGAACCTACGGCAAATGGTACCAATGGGAAAAAAGATGAGTTAGCATTAACAATGAGTCGTTCAATGAGCAACGGCAGCATCATGGGCATGGATCTGGATTCAAGTGGAAGCTCTAAGCAAGTTGGCACTGGTTTAATAGGACTAGACAATCTTGGAAACACATGTTTCATGAACAGTGCAGTGCAGTGCTTAGCTCATACATCCAAGCTGGTTGACTACTTCCTTGGAGACTTCTATAAAGAAATAAACCATAATAACCCACTGGGGTTGAAGGCATGTTGAAATTCCTTTCCACATAGACATACTTCATGTATTATGCGAATTTATTATTTTGCTTCTTGAACTCATTAGAACAATGTGTTAATGTTAAATAGGGTGAGCTTGCGTATTCATTTGGGGATTTGTTGAGGAAGCTATGGGCTCTGGACAGGACCCCTGTTGCGCCTCGCCAATTTAAAGGAAAGCTTGCGCGCTTTGCCCCCCAGTTCAGTGGCTTTAATCAACATGATTCCCAGGTTAGTTAATTTTATTTTTGAGAATACACAGTTTTTCGTCACTTCCAAACACACACCCTGAATTATATCTTATGGTGGACCCTATTCTATGATTTGCAATTTGTTTGCCACTTAATCCTAGTTCCTACCTATACCAGCTTCTGAATCAAATACCCTAAATTTCTTAAGTTCTGGTGCTACTCTGCCAATTTGATTGATAAGTGCTCCAAACCTACGATTTTTAGGGTCTATTCTATTTCTTAAAAATATATTACTCCTATATTTCTATTTGGTATTTTTGTGATAAACTTACATAATAGACACCTAATACCTAAATGATTTTGTCTACCGATGGTGCTTGTAGGAGCTTCTGGCTTTCTTGTTGGATGGACTCCATGAGGACTTGAATCGAGTGAAATGTAAACCATATTCTGAAGCAAAGGATTCAGATGGCCGTCCAGATGAAGAGGTCGCAGATGAGTACTGGGGAAACCATATAGCCCGGAATGATTCTATCATAGTTGATATCTGCCAGGTTAGTTGCATATGATTGCAACGTCACTCTCTCTCTCTCTCTCTCTCTCACACACACACACACAGAGAGAGAGAGAGAGAGAGAGAGAGAGAGAGAGAGAGCTTCTCTGTGTTGATAATACTTGTCCTTTTGGATAAAGGACACGATCTCCAAAAATAAATATATGATTTTATTGAAGTGCTACCTCCGTTTTTTGAACTTTTTCCAAGTCAAACTTCTTTATGGTTTGGCCAAGTTTATAGAAAAATATAGTAATATTTTCAATGCGAAACAAAGGAACTATCAAAATATGTTCAATGTTAGATGTAATGAAACTAATTTGGTCGATAGAGAAAAGGTAGCGTAGGACAAATAAAATTCCCTTCTCTAGCTGGGGTGGTTGTTGCATTATTGTTTCTTCTGCCAAAATGGACACATGTAAGTCACATGGTTTTATCTCCTGTTGATCATCTTTTGGTGCTCCATTGACAGGGTCAATACAAGTCGACGTTAGTTTGCCCTGATTGCAGGAAAGTATCTGTAACATTTGACCCATTCATGTACCTGTCTTTGCCCCTGCCTTCAACAACTATGAGAACAATGACTATAACAGTCTTCAATACCGATGGGACTACTGGGCCATCTCCGTATACTGTGAGTGTACCGAAATCTGGAGATACAAAGACTCTTATCGATGCATTAAGCATTGCTTGTTCCTTGAAAGGCGACGAGCGCCTTTTGGTTGCTGAGGTATTTTCCTTTTCCCTACATTATCATTATAATCCCGAGTGCTACTGAATATGCCTTGCATACTTATTATTTGATGATCTCTACATAGGTCTACAATAGTGCACTTATCCGGTACTTGGAGGAACCTTCTGAAGTCATCTCCTTGATCAGAGATGGAGATCGCTTGGTTGCATATAAACTTCCAAAAGACAGTGAAGATGCTCCAATAGTGGTGTTCAGAAACCAACGGATGGAGTAAGTACAATCTCATTTTTTACGTTGTGTTGATCTAACTGTCTAAGTTGGGTATTAAATATATGAATGTTGCTGTTTTTTATAAGCAGGTCCACCCTCACTAGTTTTGGCAGAAAATCCTGGAAGTCTTTTGGTACACCCCTTGTGTCAAGTCTTCCTGACACAATCAATGGGAGTACGATCTTTGAGCTTTACCAAAAGGTTATGACTCCATTCCGAGTACCAAAAGATGATAGTTCAGGTGCTGACCACATAATTGGCAAAAGCAGTCCTGTGGAGGAAACCACGGACGTTGATATGAACTCTGATGCAACAGAGTCAACCAGCATAAACAATAACGATTGTGACGATGAAACAATGACTGAAGATGGAATGCAATTTTACTTTATCAATGAGAGGTTTCCAGACCAACGCATGAAGATAGAAATGGACCAACCTATTAGACTTACTGCTTCACAGAAGCGACTGCATGTGGTTGTGTGTTGGCAGGACAATGGACTAGAGCAATACAATTTTAGTTCTTTAGATAATCTTCCAGAGATCTACAAGGCTGTCCTATTCTCAAGGAGACCACAGGAGACATGTTCTCTATATGCATGCCTTGAAGCTTTTATAAAGGAGGAACCGTTAGGCCCAGAAGACATGTGGTATAATTTTTTTATTTTTTATTTTTTATTTTACATTTTTCAGTGTTATATTTTGTAGTGGTTATACTTTTCCTTTCTTTATAAGATTAGAGATGATTCTTTACCCAAGTAAAGATGTTCTTCTTTCCTTTTGAAGTCTTTCGACGAATATAAATTTCCAATTTCTTTGTACAGGTATTGCCCAGGCTGTAAAGAGCATCGCCAAGCTAGTAAGAAGTTAGACCTTTGGAGGCTACCGGAAATCCTTATAATACACCTGAAAAGATTTTCATACAGTCGATATACCAAAAACAAGCTAGAGACATGTGTGGACTTCCCGGTTCATGATCTTGACCTTTCAAAGTATATCGGTAGCAGGGGGCAACAGATTTCCAACCACTATCGACTGTATGCTATTAGTAATCACTATGGAAGCATGGGAGGTGGTCACTATACTGCATATGTTTATGTAAGTGTTCTTTCCCCCACCGATCATTTTCTGTTACTATTAATGCACGCTTGCTTGTGTGACTTGCATACATCGGTTTGTATGATTGAGGGACTGGTATACTCTTTATTTTGACTATATTTTGCATTTGAGGTTTGAGCCAGAGCCTCTTATGATTAATTACTCATATTTTTGGTGCAGCATGAAGGTAAGAAAGGGTGGTATGACTTTGATGACCGTCATGTGGGTCCTATAAGCGAGGAGAGTATAAAGACATCGGCAGCTTATGTTCTTTTTTATAGGCGGATACAGGGGGATGATAATAGGTTAGATGATACAGAAACAGGAATAGATTCTTCTGATTGTACAACATGAGTAGTGTCGGCGGCTTTCTTTCGAGTCCTTCCAGACATTGTATAGGGCGATTGGTCGGGGAGACAGTTTTGGTGCGCTGCTGCAAGGATCCAAAGCGGCTGATCCGAGAGTTTAAGGTAAGAAGTAAGATGGAGAGGAGCAGCAGCAGCAGCAGAAACCGTCGTTTTTGCTGCATCATGGGACAACAAGGGTGGGAAGAATTGAAGGGAGGGTGAAAACTGAAAAGGAACGGAGACAAGAAAGTAACAGATGGGAAGATGGATCTGCTTGTCATGGAATATGTGGGTACGAAGAAAAGGCGATGTGAAGAGGAGAAGCCGACAGACCAGAGAGAGCAGCTAAACTGTTGTAGTAGGTTTCGATATACCTGATACATGTGTTTCCTCAGCCCAAAGATTTTTTCTAGGGCTGAGAAAGGGAGATACAGAATTTGTCGTCGTTGTAGTTCCCTTGCTGCTGCTGCTAACTCGTTTCTTTCTTTTTCCTTTTTGTTTCTCCATTGACTTGTCTTGTAAAACTGGTCCTGATAAATTTTGGCTCGTGCTGCCGAAAAAGGTGGCCCTGGAAATTCCAATACAATTGAAACCGATCGATTTTGGTCTGATTATTACTACCTGTCGACTGTTGAGTGATGCTCTGCTCTATATACTAGTTAACCTGTCGATCTGGCGTTGTAGAATCAAGAGCAACTAGTAGTCGTACTAGTGGTTTATTCTTGTAACCTGAGCGGCAGCCACCCGGACAGCAGTAGCAGCTGCACAGTGGAGATGTCAATGGTGACAGGACCCATCAAGCTCAGCAACAGGGAAAAATGAAAGGTAGCTGCACGTATGCGTTGCGTGCGCAGCTTCCTCCCTCTATCTCGTGCACTCCCTCTGTAAAAAAGACAATCTAAATGGTGAATTTGGTTCGTTATACTGGGTAATATCACATTCTAATTTGGGTTGGATTCTTTTCTTAGGATAAAGAGAGTTTATCAGGCGATACTATAGGCTGACGACATAACATGTTTGAAAACTCGAGATTATAAGAAACAGTAGCCATCTAATAAGACTCTAGGTTAATATTGTTCTGTTTGGTGGCTCGAGATTCTGAGAAGCAATCATTAATTAGTAGTTAAAAAAAATTCAGACTTGTGGCTCTGAACCCATTTTCTATGTTCTTTAAAGTACAATATTGTTGTAATCGTAGATAAAAGTCTAAATTTTTGGAGAAGCTTCAACTATCAGAAAAGAAAAGAAAATAAAAAAGAAGCCAAAGTGACTAGTGCACTGCTGTCACGCACGCACGCGTGCAATTGCAAATGTGCGATGCCCTGCCGCTTTCGCCGCAGCTTCGATGTACATACCGGTAGAGCTAAGATGGCTCGCTTTCAACGCCCATGTCTGCATCATCTGATACATACATGCACGCATACGGATACGTAGATATAGGCCGTGTTTAGTTAACAGCCAATTTTTTTTTAAAGTATACGGACACACATTTAAAGTATCAAACAAAAACTAATAACAAAAAAAATTACAGATTCCGCCTGTAACCTACGAGACGAATTCATTAAGCCTAATTAATCTATCATCAGCAAATGTTTACTGTAGCACCATATTGTCAAATCATGATGTAATTAGGATTAAAAGATTCGTCTTGCAATTTACATGCAAACTGTGCAATTGGTTTTTTTCATCCACGTTTAATGTTCTATGTATGTGTCCAAATATTTGATGTGACGGAATTTTTAAAAGTTTTAACGGAACTAAACACAACCCTATACGCCACATGCATAATTGCATACGTATATATGCACTAGCTACTCTATATATAGCAGGAGTAGTAGCTAAAGTCGAAGAAGAAGACGAAGACACCGCCGTGTCGCATATTATCTCTGATCTCCGAATTAATCGATCTAATTTAACTCGGTATTTTCGATATGCTGAAAGGGATTGGTTTTGTGCGAGCTGTTATCAGGGCTACAAAATACGATCGGTATTAGTCAAGATACAAGATATAAACCACTCACTAGCTCGCTAGCAGCTTCGTCATGATAACCGAGCGTTTACCGACGAAAATTGCGATATCAGGACAAAATTGCGATAAATCTTAGTTTGAACTTTTTTCAAAAAGAAAATAAAGTTTGTTAATTTATCGAGCAGTTCTTAAACACGGATCGGACCGGCTCGAAAAGACCGATAACCAAGCAGTTATAGTCACATTCACATTTTCAAAATTTGTCTGGTAGCTGGGATCGTGTGGCGCAAAAATATAATTACATTTATATTACATATACATAGGTAGGGACGCAAAAGGGCCGACCCGCGAGTTTAAATAAATAATAATTTATGGATTTTCGTGTCGCAGCCCGGCTTGCCACATCTAAATATATAAGTGGATCGATCAATAAACCCATTTATAAGTTAAATTCATAGTTAACCTGCTAGTCAAACCCGTGGGTTATGCACTATTTCTACCTATAAGCGGGTTCATGGGTAAACCCACTTACACCCCTAACACAGGTGCCTGTCAAGCCCAAATAAATAAATAATAGTATTTCTCCTAGATTAATAATTCTTTGACTATAATAATTTCTAAAATATTTAAGAAAATAGATTAGTCCTAAAAATACTTTAATAAAATCATATATTTATTAATATTTCTCTATCTATTATAATATAAAATAGTGGTTAAAATTGCTTTTTCAGATTATATTCTTGGTCAAAATGATAAGTAGTACTACCTCTGTTTCAGGTTATAAGGCTTTCTAGTGTTGCTCACATTTATATATATATATATATATATATATATATATATATATATATATATATATATATATATATATATATATATATATTCATTAACATATATATGATGTGAGCAATGCTAGAAAATCTTATAATATGAAACGGAGGAAGTAGTATTAATTTAGAGGGAGTAAAATGCTAGAGCATCTCTTATGATCGACATCTATCTATATATCTACAGGACTACACCGCTAGCTTTTAGCTAAGCCAGCCATCAGCATCGATCATCATCATCATCATCATATCTCGCCCATGTCGTCTACCTGATCTGTAGACTGTAGTGCGCTCTGCAGTCGATCCCTCCGATCCGATCCGATCCTTCAGGTCAAGTAATACCTTACCTAGTGACCCACTTGCAATCTTCCATGGTGATCCTTAATATAGGAGTAACTTCATCATCGGCGGGTGCCACTTCATTTGGGTGTCTGTTGGGAGCATACTGGGGTTTCCTCCGCCACAAAATTCTCCCTATATATATATATCACTACTAGAATTCACAAGTATCCCTAGAGCCAAAATACTCTAGGGATCGGGTTTCCCTAGAGTGAACCCTAGGGAATGGCCCCTAGGGAAGCATTATACGGGAACAAACTGGTTCCCTTGGGTTTTCTTGGTAGAATCTAGGGAAAGAAGCTTTCCACGTGTTCTAAAAGGTAGGGATTGAATGCCACCTGAACAGAAAAAATCAAACGTGGAAAGTGGTACAGCACCCTAGGGAACATTTTTATTGGAGTAGTTCATTTAGAAATTAATGCAGATTAATTTAGCTCTTGATTAATCGTTGATTAGTTTTATTTGTTTATTTTATTTCTTTTGCAAACAACCAGTAAGCATTCCAATCATATTTTCATCAACTTGCTTGAACAAAAAATATATATACTGCATTACAAAGTTAATCTCAATAGTAAAAATTGGGAGTACATGCAGAGTTGCCCTTCGAAAAACAAAAGAAAAAAAACACACACGCATAGGGAGAGTATATCCAGAGTTGAAAATTGACGAACACTTAATAGATTGTGGCTTTGCTCTCTCAAAAGTCAAAATAAAACACAAATATAGCCTTCTGCAGTAGTTGTATCCAATTGAAATGGTACGTAATAGCACTTCCAGAAGTCATCAAGCTGCAAAATGAGTAGGAAGGTTGAAGAAAATAAGTACTTATGGAAATCTGCAGCTACATACGTGGGATTCTCTATTTGTTCAATATAATAAGCACATGATTTCTAGCTTTGATTACTAACCGCAGTAATATGATTCATATATCAAGTTTTGCAAGCGTAGCTCAAGTTCTTGACTTCTCAGCCTTACCGATCTGCATCAAGCACAGAATCCATCAAAAATCAAAACTTCAAAATATGCACAGGAAAATATCTGCTCGAGTACCTTTGCTAAATGCTAACTAGAGAGCAGCTCGGCAACACCACGCTGCACAGGTCGCCGTGGCCTTGATTCACCCCTGTCCCGGCGTTGCCTCTCAGCCGCAAACAGATGCAATCAGCCCACGCCCACCACGGCCTTCAGGAGTGCTGCTGCAACCACCCTCGAAGGTCGAAGCTCCTGTCGATCTCTACTACTTGAGGGTAGATTTGGTGGTGGAGACTGGAGAGGGAGTTGATTTGGGGAGGAAGAGATGAAAGAACATGTTGAAGGAAGAACAAAGGGGGAAAGTTTAGCAGCTTGGGGTACTTTATTACTTTCCAATGGAAAGAGAATATGGTGCACAGTCCAAATTTTGGATTCACAAGGCGGGAGAAAATATTACAACCTTTCCACGTGGTTGGTTTCTAAAAAAGACAGTGGACCCTGCCACCGTGGTTCTCCTATCAGTGCCAACTGTACTAGTTTCCCTAGGAGCAAGCAAAAACTCTAGGGATCATCTCAGTTCCCTTGAGTTTTAGTTTCGGCTCTAGGGAACTTATTATCCCATTGGGTTCTAATTAGGGCTCTAGGGAACATTTGAAAACCCTAGGGACCTCGTGGAATTCCAGTAGTGTGTGTGTGTATGTATACACTTATACTATTAAACTTGCTCTTAAGGATCATACACAAGAACCAACAAGTATTTACGATCGAAGAAAGTATACAGTGTAAGACATGGAAAATGGAAATTAAGGATCACCTTTTTTTTCTCATGAAAATGAAAAAAAAAGATTACACTTAATATATTAGAAAAAAAGCAGAGTTTTGGTTATATATACAATGCAACGGCCAAAAAGACTAGTAAAAAGTAAAAAAAAAGTTAAAAAAAACTGAAAAGACTAGTAAGTTTAAACTATGAAAAATAAGTTGCTATATATATATATATATATATATATATATATATATATATATATATATATATATATATATATATATATATATATATATAGCAACTTATTTTTACTAGTCTTTTTTTGGCCGTTGCATTGTATATATAACCAAAACTCTGCTTTTTTTCTAATATATTAAGTGTAATATTTTTTTTTCATTTTCGTGAGAAAAAAAATGGTGATCCTTAATTTCCATTTTCCATGTCTTACACTGTGTACTTTCTTCGATCGTAAATACTTGTTGGTTCTTGTGTATGATCCTTAAGAGCAAGTTTAATAGTACAGCCCACTATTAGCTCCAAATCATTTATAGCCAATTCATACAATAGCTGCTTACTATACTATTAATATCTGGTCCCACCTTTCATACATACATTACATCTCGGAGTCCGTGCTACAGCTGGCTACAGATCTGTAGCCCGATGTTCTTCTCTCTCTTCCTTTATCTCTTTAAAATATGTTTATAGCTGGCTTATAGCATGCTATTGTACCTGCTCTTAAACTTTTTAAACTTGAGTCTTGGTATTCCTAAATATATTGGGTTTTGATGCACTAAAAGAACACATGTAGATGTATCTAGCTACTGTCACATCACTGTAGTTTGAGTTAATGTCGTTATAAATATTTTACACTAGAAAGTAGGAGTAGTGAAGAAAGTTGTCTCTAAGAGAAAGTTTAATAGTATAGCCAACTACTAGCTCTAAACCATCTAGAGCTAATGTAATAGCTAATTCATACAATAGTTGCTTACTATACTATTAATACCCGGTCATACTTGTCATACACTCGTTACGTCTTGGAGTCCGTGCTGCAGCTGGCTACAGATTTGTAGTCCGTTGCTCTTCTCTCTTTTCCTTTATCTCTTTAAAATATGTTTATAGCTGGTTTATAGCCCGCTATTGTACGTGCTCTAAGAAGACCATGCTGATGTCCAAATCGACTTGCATGTACGAAGGTAATACTATGAGAATCACACACCGTCAAAATAAGTATACAACTTAATTAATTACCACGCACGTATTCAAGGGTGTTGAGATATATATGCCTCCGTTTCAAAAAATATATAATCATTTCTAGGTTAATTTGGAAAAAATATCTCTTTTCAGCCACCTCATTAATCAAAATTTGATTTTTAAATTGATAGATTAATTTCCCAAGATATTGATTGGTTGAAATTAATAATGCTTGGATTATTATGCATTGAAACTAGTGTATTAAAAAAATGCTGACATTGTGGTACATATTTTAAACATAAAAATGCTTATATTCGAGTATTAATGACTGAAGACATTACCCAATGATACTCACAGTGTTCTATAAGATTAATAAATCATGCATCCAATTAAAAGATGCAACGAAATTATCAATATCTGTTTATAATTGTGCCAGCTTTGCTAGCAACAACATCCATATAACCAACTAATAATAATTTAGTCTTGCAGGTCTAATAAGCTAGAAATTAAACTGAATATCTCGAGGCCCCAAAAATTATCGATGAGAACTAGCAATACGAGTAGAGGTCATCTGGCGCCTGTCGCACTTATTACTGTATTAGATCAGGACGCGTCTATTGCATATTTATTTGTAGTTCAGGTCCAATGCAATTTAATTTAATTTAGTTATGGCAGTGGTCTCACATCTGTACTTGAGCATACATACGTCCACGTCGATCGATCGATCATCAGATACATATAGGAGTAATATAATTGATTAGTATAGATGATTTGATTTTGCTTGTAATTACTGGAAACCGTATGCTGTACTTGCCTAATTAATAATTTAACTAACTAACCCTTTTCTTTTCTGCGTTTTCACAGCGCTTTTCGACGTATCGTTATTGATATCGACATGCTGAAAGTTGCAGCCATGACAAGGCATCGATCTATATATAATAATATATTCGTATTTAATTTGCATATCGTTACTCATTGCTGACTCGACGTTGATGTGCCAATATCTTGTCTCCCATGATTCCTTTTTTTTAAGAATTGAGCTCTGGTCCAGGCAATAAGAATGTAAATGGATCATACTTAGAGTATATTCTAATCAAAATCGTCCACATTTATTTAAAGAAACTCTTAAATAACCCATTCGTCCTAAAAAAATCAATCTTTTTTTTTGAGACGGAGTAGTAGTCCTTAATTTTTTGGCAGTTCAACGTTGATATAACATTTATCTCGAAAACTATTTGTACTTTCTCCGTCCGGCAATAAATTTATTTTTATACCCTTCTATTTGTATCAAAATAAGTTCATTTTTAGAGTAATCATCACATCGAAGTTTGTGAAAGTAGAAAATAATTGTATTGGGAATAGAGAAAGTGATAGAATAGTTGTATTAGGATTTGATAAAGTAGGAGTATTCTAGTCTTTTTGTTTTTTATTGGTATGTGCGGAATTGGTAAAAAATAATCTTGTTTTAGGATGAATGTGATAAATAAATGCACCCACCTGTCATTAGTAACTTGGAGTAACTACTACTCCCTCCGTCCCACTTCCTGATATATATCACATCCAATCTTAAATTTTTTTTGACGGAAAAAGTACATTGTTTGCTCCTTGGCTTATTAGCCATAACCTAAATTTAAATATTAAAAGCTTAATTTTAGAGTCGAGTTTGATATTTTTTATCATATATTATTTTTCCAATTGTTAAGAACAAATACATATTATAAAACTGTTACGACTTATAATCAGTTATATAAATATTTACACTACTAGCACCTAATAGGAGGTTATTGTCTGACAGAAAAAATAAATAAATTGGTGGCATCCAATCTGCTTGGAAATGTGGTGAAATTATTTCAACGTAAAGTAGTCAATGGAATGAGTAATATATATTGGCACACGCATGCACAGAGAAGTAGACAATGACATTATCACATTAACAAAGTGAACCTTTTCTTTAAGACTTAACAAAGTGAACTATACATATGGCTAGCTAGAGTGATGAGAGTAGAGGTGGTGGCTAGCTCATGAGCTGATGAACAGGGCAGGCAGGGGAGGGATCAAAACTGTCCTGTCGAAGTGACGCATCGTGGGTGCTGTCTGTCTGTGTACTGCATTGCCACCTGCTCACACATCCATCCATCACTCAGCCAGTACAACATTTCATTTCATTTCATCACTCAGCCACTGTGCTCCTGGCTCTGTAGCTCTTCTGTACACATGTCCCCCTCTTCTCTCTCTCTCTCACTCATCCTAGTTTAATTAGTTTTGCCTTTTTGCCAATCAAAAGTACTCCCCTCACTATCAAAATATAAGCATATTTTTCAGTGCTTTTCGTCAAGACTAATTAAGAGAAGTTGTGAAATTAAATAAGAGATGTGTATGTTTGGTTGAGACGAGAAAATACATAGCCGGAAAATTAAATGAAAGATGATTATGGTTGGTTGAGATGAGAAAATGTATAGAGAAATTATTGTAAATTATAGTTTGAACAGATTTTGAAAGATGTAAATTATTGTATTTTAGGACAAATCGGAGGAAGTATTGTTTGTTTTTTCAGTTCTGAATTGCGCTGCTTTATTATTAATTATTTTGTGTATGCACATTATTAATTATACCATGTGATTGATCTTATCGACTACGTACATTAATTCATGCACGTGTTGACCCATCTCTTCCTCTCAGATCTTATCTCTAATAGTATTCTCGCTATTCTTTTTGTGCATATATGTAGGTCATGCTAAGATCATCATTCATTCGGCCATGTTGCACACGCTCACATCCTGGCTCAATTAGGCCTACGACGTGGAATAGAAGTAGACCACAACATGTTTTTAATATGTAATGTGATAATTGAAACTATGCAGCACCAACGTACTCGTTGACAGCGAGACGTCCATTGTGACTTCATCAATCTCAAGATATATGGCCCAGTCTTTTGGAGGTGCTCGTAGGAGTAGTGTGTGCATTCATAGGGTTAAGTGTACGCGTATTATAAGTTTCTGCGCTTGTACTGTGTTTCTAAAAAAGGTAGATCAATAACACTTTAGCTACCATCATTACCTATATACTCCACCGAAACTAAGACTAGAAATATTCAAATAAGCACAATATTTATAAACTCGATCACACAAAAAAAGAGTCTATCTAAAATTAAATAAATCAAGATATATAGTCGATCCGCAATTGCATGGTTGGGTATACTGATCCACAAACGACACATGTGTATATATAGGGTGTGTTCGGCACCCTCTTTTTCCAACCACTCTCTTTCGTTTTCCGTGCGCACGCTTTTCAATCTGCTAAACGGTGTGTTTTTTACAAAAAATTTCTATACAAAAGTTGCTTAAAAAAATCAAATTAATCTATTTTTGAAAAAAAATAGCTAGTACTTAATTAATCGCACGCTAATGGATCGCTCCGTTTTCCGTGATTATTGCTCCGGATGGGAACCCGGATGCCCGAATACAGCCATAGATTATAAGGGAAAAAAACCTTTCCCTTTCTCCCCCACCCTCAATTATTTTGTGGCCAAGATCAAAATTCAAAGGTGATATGGGATAGAAATGATTGCAAGCATTGAACACCAACGACAGGATCCCGTTGAAGGCAATATCAACGGCCCACAGAGACCACCACTAACTGAA